GAAAGAAAGGCAACAAGGGCAGCTAATTGGGAGAATTGGCAGTACAAGATTCTACTGGGCGAAATGTTTAGAGTGAACAAAAAAAGATACATGAAAATAAAGATAAAAAGGAAGAATGTGGGAGCAGAATTAAAAAGTGGATAAGAATTGAAGCACTAAAAAAGAGAAGAGATGATGGGTAAAAAAATTGCCGTTTAAATATTAAATTAGTCTATTATAAGCTGGAGAGGCAGAAATAAAAAGTAGGAGAAATATCAAAACATAAACTGCTTATAAAATGAATAAAAATATAGATTAGATGTTTACAGATGTTAGGTATTTTTCTTTCAATGTATATTTTAACAATGTAACAAGACTATATAATTTGACTAATGTGATAGAGATAATCAATAATGTTAATGTGAATTGGACTAACATAAATGATATCTAGTTAAACTTGTTCATACTAGTATTGTGAATTGGATTAAAATAGAAAAATGGATAAGAATTAAAGTACCGAAGAGAAAATGTATAAATAGTATAAGGATTACATAAACTTGATAAATGTGATAGGGATTATTAACAATGTTAGTGTAAACTGGATCAATATAAATGAAACTTAGATACATTTATTCATATATAATAGAGAAATATTTAGATAGAACAAGAAAGATATAGATGAAGGTAGAGATAAAGATGAGGAGTTAGGCATTTTTTTGAATATATATGTTTGAACAATATATAATAAACATTACTTAAATTTGTGAAATGTGATAGAGATTACTAATATTGTTATTGTGAATTGGATTAATATGAATGATACCCAGAACCAACTCTGTTCACACACAATATAAATGTATAATTTAAATTTAAAAAAAAAAATACAAAAAAAAGAGTAAGAGACACAAGAAAATAACATCAATTTCTGACAAGATAATTAATTAAACATGAAGTAAACTACAAACAGCTGATACCTGAGGGAATTCTGGTGATCTTGATGGATCAAAGGCATAGATTAGATACTACAGAGAAAGCAGAGCAATTTTATGATGAGCAATTTGGATCAAATGAGGAAAAAAGAGAGTAGATGAGAAGAAACAAGGAGGAGGAAATGTATAACAAAAAGAAGATAAAACAGGAGAGAGGAGAATGAGAAGGTGCAAAGATAAAAGAACAGAGAGAAATAAGAGTGACCAGAACAACAAGACCTACCTATAAGTAAAACTATGGAAGATGAAATAAAACTATTGTCCATTAATATAAGTGGACTGAATTCTCCTATGAAAAGGACCTTTAATAAACTAGGAAAGTTAAAATTAGATTTTATTTGTCTTCAAGAAACAACACAATAAATTATTGGAATATCCTAAAATTCAGAAATTATATTCCTCATTATCACAACAAAATAAAAGAGGTGTGGTTTTATATATTAAAGAAACAATAAAAGCAAGACAATTTTTTTTAGATAAAGAGGGGAGAATATTGATGGTGGAGGTAACAATGAACAATAAACCAATACTTTTGGAAACAATATATGCACCAAATTATAAACAAGATTTTTTTAATGAAAAATTGCATAAGAAAATTACTGAATAGGAATATGAAAATATCTACCTAGTAGGAGATTTTAATGCATTGTAGACGTAGGATTGGACTACAAAAGTAGTAAAATAAGTAAAAAAAGCTAGAAAAACGCTTCCAAAAAGTTTTTTTATTGGCGGAAGAAACAGGTACTCAAGATGTATGGTGAGAAATAAATCCTAAAAGAAATCAATACTCATTTTATTCAAACAGACTTTTGTCCTGGTCAAGAATAGATATGATATGGATGTCACCGGAGTTAAAATCAAATGTGCAAGAAATAGAAGCAAGCACTTGGGCAGATCATAATCCCATTGCAGTTAAGTGGAAAGGACAAAAGAGAAAATGGAGATGGACATTGAATCAATCAATACTAAAAGATAAGGAATTTATACAAAGTATGGAAAAAGACTGTTGTTGAAGGGAGCAAGGCAAGGCGCCATTTGGACCTCATATCTGACTGCCAATGGCAGAGCCACACAAGGCGGCATGATGTTACATTAGAGGCCAAGATCCCTTGAGAAAGAAGAGCTCTGAGATCTAGCAGTCTTAGAGGTATTTCAAACTTAGCTCCCCTAGGACGATTGCAATTGCTGGAGGAGCCAGCTTCTGAAGCCTCCTTACTGATGATCTACCATTTTGAAAATGTTGCTGGGCCTGGGGAGTTCCATGTGATTGCACCAAACAAAATGATGAGGCCTAATGACACGAGGCCAAGCACGAAGCAGCCAAACGCTCTGGGTCAGGGGAATGTGCTATTCCTCCCCTGTAGGTGATGAATAGCCCCTGCATAGACTGCCCACATAGACTTCCTGAAGCCAAATCCAATGCGAAATGCCCG